GCTGACCGGACACGAGGAGCAGCACCGTCCCGCTCCTCACGGTGACTCCACACCCGACACCGCGCTGACCGGACATGAGGAGCAGCACCGTCCTGCTCCTCACGCTGACTCCACACCCGACACCGTGCTGACCGGACACGAGGAGCAGCACCGTCCTGCTCCTCGTGGTGACTCCACACCCGACACCGTGCTGACCAGACACGAGGAGCAGCACCGTCCCGCTCCTCACGCTGACTCTGCACCCGACACCACGCCGACTGCAGCGTCCTTGCAGAGCGAGACTCCCTTCCAGAGGAAATTCCCCAAACAAGCCGGAAAGCCTCCTTCCCAGAGAACTAACGCAGCACAGGCTGCTCCGCCGCGAAAGGCAGAGACTAGTGCAAGGAACAAACGCGTCCCGCAGCGCCAAGGGCCACGCGCGGTGCCCACCTGTGGGAGGTGAAGTTGTCGTAGGAGCCCACGGTGTAATGTCTGAAGAGGCGCTTGGTCCTGTCTTCTCTGGTTTCTGCAAGAGAGGAGAGCCGTGAGCGGGCGGGCGCGGGGGCCGGGGCCTGGCGAGCGCAGCTCCACGCAGGCGCTGTGCGTGAGCAGCGCTCGTCCGCGCGCGGCCACATGCCGCTCTGATCATCCCCATGCATATTCATGCACCAAGCACGTGCCACGTCTCTGCACCAGAGCTTAGCTGACAAGGTCTCAAGTTTCATCAAAACACCCCAGAAAGCTGAAGAGAATCAACTCCAGGCAAGGGAAAAACACCCCGTGTGCCAGGGCAGCCGTCCCAGTCCTTGCCCTGGTTCCGGGGCCACGGGAATCCCACGTGTCTCCTGCCACAGTGAGGCAGGTCCGAGGGAAGGGACAGTGACGATCCCACGTGTCTCCTGCCACAGTGAGGCAGCTCCAAGGGAAGGGACAGTGACAGTCCCACGTATCTCCTGCCACAGTGAGGCAGGTCCGAGGGAAGGGACAGTGACGGTCCCACGTGTCTCCTGCCACAGTGAGGCAGGTCCGAGGGAAGGGAC